GATATTTATAATACACTAACATGACAGTGTTTATGTATACTGAAATTGAGAAACAAGAATCATTTCTGAAGCCACTGGGCAGTTGAAGGTTTGTCTAGGAACAAAAAGTATACAATTTGAGAACATGGTGATCAGCCTGACAAACTAATTGATTGGAAACGGTATTATTTTGTCTTTTCACTACTACATTCTAATAAAACAAAGCAGAAAATCGTAGTCTGTGAAAGATGTTTTTAAGGTTTACATAATGACAAGAAATGTTGAAAATTTAAAAAATAAACACAATGGACAATCAATTCAGATTTGAATCTGAAGAAAAGTTTAGGGTTACGCCAAAGGTTTTGGGTTATTGATTATTTTTATTCTTATAATGACAAACAGAAATATTCAAAATGTTTTTATACATTTAACACACACATACACACAAAACTCGTGATTTTAAACCCAACCAAAGCTAAACTTCGACAGTTTTGTAAATTGAGGCTACATTAAAATAACACATTGAGATGAAAATCTTTTTAAATAAGATATTAGAAAAAATATGGGAGAAGAAAAAAATACCATCTTTAGGTCTCCAAAGATATATGAATCAAACTAGTCATTTTTATACTGTAGGACAGAAGAGGAAAGTAACTCATCATATACTGAACCATTCCCCAAAACACACACAAACTTCTACAGCAGGAGAATCTCTAATGGATGTCAATATCTGAAGCACATTATTAGTAACATAAAAAGACAGTTTAAAGGAGTCTCCGTATCATGTAAAAAATGTTACCATCATCAGTAAGGAATTAACTTTATAATGTCTTACAAAGCTTTTAGGTTTGAATTTTAAAATCTCAAACTGTGTGCTTCTAATATTCAAAGAAATTATCAAGTTGGAATTAGTTTTTTTTTTTTAAATGCAACAAAATATCATTAAAAGACAGTGAGAAATTCACAGATTGATAAACATCTTTATATAAAAAAGAAAATACAGTTACACTCAATGCTTCTCAGCCATGACATTTTGTCTTTTCTAAACCAGCTTAAAGGGACATGCAACAAAGTATCCGTGGCATAACACTGACTGAAACGACTGTTATAACTTACAGCTTTAACCAATCAGTTAATAACTTCTTTTGAATCTTTCATGTCCTGATCAAGATGCAGGGAATCCTGTTTGTTTTCTTACGTCTCTCGGATACTGCATGTCACCCAACTTCTCCATGATATCTTCCAATACAGTAACAACTAGTATATATGATTTGACCATGACTGAAAATAACACTCCAGACACGTTCTTTGGAAGACCATTTAATTGCTGACACTCAAATATGTAGGTGAAGCGTGATTCACAGATTTTCACCGTCACTCAGCCTTTTGTGTGACTTATAGTGTCCCTCCCTTGCTTAATCATTAAACCATAGAACTGTTTTTTAAATCCCAATACTTATCTGACAGATCCTTATTTCTATTGATGTTAAAAAAATAACGACTTTATCTCCAGAATGTATCTCAATATTTCACTATTACAACTTTGTTAGGAACCATCAATATACTACAAGTTTACTGTTCCACTTGAAACTGTCATCAATTAATCAAACGTTGATACACGTGTGTAAAAGATTCAGGCCATCAATATACTACAAGTTTACTGTTCCACTTGAAACTGTCATCAATTAATCAAACGTTGATACACATGTGTAAAAGATTCAGGCCATCAATATACTACAAGTTTACTGTTCCACTTGAAACTGTCATCAATTAATCAAACGTTGATACACATGTGTAAAAGTTTCAGGCCATCAATATACTACAAGTTTACTGTTCCACTTGAAATTGTCATCAATTAATCAAACGTTGATACACATGTGTAAAAGATTCAGGCCATTTTATATATGATATAAAACATTCTTGATTTGAAACAAACCAATGATGATAAATAAAGAATCAGCAGGTGAACTACTAATATCCAATGTCAGTGTGTGATTAAATAAGGACGGTATTCCAATTTAGTTTCAACTGGATTAGTGAACTTGAAGGTTATCGATAATAGTGAAATATTGAACCAATCATTATTTTATTTACATCAACAGAAATGTCTTATAATAAACTCCAGTTTCCACTAAATATAGTTAAGAATAGTTTTTATTACAAGTAACAGCTTTCACAATATGGAAGACCATTTTTTAAAACAGGTATGGTATTTTGATAAATCACTGGTGCAATAATCCTCAAGTACATAGGTTTTAATAGTATAGGAAGTGTACTTGAAAATGATTGCACCAGTGATCGAAACGTCGTACCTATTTTAATATATATTCTTCTATACTTTGAAAGCTGTAACTTGTAATAAAAACAATATATATAATTAGCAAGTAAACTCAAAATGAAACTGTTAATTGAAAAAAGTTAAAAATAATAATGACAAATATTCTACACTTTAAAAAAACAAAATGAAACAGAGCTAGTGTGTTTTGTGATTTTGTACATATCTGCTTTAAAATTATGAACAGAAAAAATTATATTATTGATAAATCAGAAATATTAACTTCAAGATCTGTTCTATCTCCTGAAAGCTAGTGTTGTGGGACTTTCACACAATATCAAAAAAGAATAGCAGCAGTCTCGGTGAAAACAACAAAGTTACCCAACTAAAAACTATATGTGATTTTCAACATAGATTAACACATAAACAGAAGATGAAAAACCATATAAAATATTTGACATGTAAGGATAAAGATCAGTAGTAAAAATATGTGATGTATAATATAAGGTAATTCAAAAAGAAAGCCATAGCTGTCTTCTCAAATACTTGTTTACTTTACCCCACATTTGGATATGGCTGATTCTTTTTTTCCTATATCACACACTTGCAAAACAGAACAGATATTATATCTACAAACGTACTTTGCCTCTCAGATAAATGATCAAAGCAGCAGTATTTTTCTAATTTTTTCATACAGTTTGACTTCCATTAAAGCTACATATTTTTTATAACTTCATCACAAACATTCCCCACCCCCAAATAAATCATTAAAGCTACAATTTTTTTTTCTATAATTTTCACACAGTTAATTTCCAGCCAAATCAATAAATGAGACAGCACTTGCATAATTTTACTTGAAATTTGTCTACAAATAAATCATTAAAGCCACAATATTTTTTAAATGTTTTGCACTGTTTGATCTCCAAGTAAACCATCAAAGCTGCATATTTTTTTATAACTTCATCACAAACATTCCCCACTCCCAAAGAAATCAGTAAAGGTGTAGTGTTATTTCTGTAATTTTTCACACAGTTTATTCCCACATAAGTCAGTAAAGGTTTAGTATTTTTTCTGTAATTTTTCACACAGTTTATTCCCACATAAGTCAGTAAAGGTTTAGTATTTTTTCTGTAATTTTTCGCACAGTTTATTCCCACAAGTCAGTAAAGGTGAAGTGTTTTTTCTGTAATTTTTCACACAGTTTATTCCCACATAAGTAGTAAAGGTGAAGTATTTTTTCTGTAATTTTGCACACAGTTTATTCCCACGTAAATCAGTAAAGGTTTAGTATTTTTTCTGTAATTTTTCACACAGTTTATTCCCACAAGTCAGTAAAGGTGAAGTGTTTTTTCTGTAATTTTGCACACAGTTTATTCCCACGTAAAAGTGTCAAATATTTTACTGGAATTAACATAACACGATAAGGAAACATTAGTCTTTCAAAGTCGTACTTCCACCCCAAAGAAAAAGTAAAAACGTAAATCCTCCTTGATGAAACAATGGTCCTGTAAGTTAGTCTCATTTACATTTAATTAACATGAGCAAGGAATATAATCAAATATCCATTTCATCTCTGAAGATGTATCTGACAAGTATGGGGCAATTTGAAAAAATTATTAAAAATCAGTAGCTTTAATGGTTTATATGGGAATAAAACTGTGTGAAAAATTACAGAAAAAAACACTTCACCTTTACTGACTTGTGGGAATAAACTGTGTGAAAAATTACAGAAAAAATACTAAACCTTTACTGATAATTTCTCCTCGTTCTGAGATCAAATGACCTCCACTATGAAACATAATATATATAAAATTATCTTTCTACAGCGATTTGAGTATCTAAGAATATATCATAATTGAATGTATTAGTAACTTTCCTGATAATCATAACCTAACAAACTCTTAAAATCCATAACATATGTTGGTGTTTTTTGCCCTTCTTATATTCCCCCAAACACAACATCATGAAATATTTACTGTCAGGACAATAAACAGCTGTCTGTCTATCTGTTTTCACAACATCTTCTAAATGTACCACATCACATTTTTCAATGAATCAAGTCTGTTCGTTTCCAGCACAAAAAGAAATCCAAGTCCTGTTAAGGCTTCTGCTAGAAAAACAGACATGGAATGAATGATGTAAATGTCAATGAACCAATAATATATCTCAATACTGTATGGTCTGCTAATGTCACTTGGTGAACACATTTAGAGATGACCAACATCCAAAGCATGGTGCAATGCTGCAAGGTCTGAGTGACTACTCACTCTCCAAAATGGAAAATTCATCTGAAAAAAAAACAAAAACCCTGTTAACTGTACCAAAAACTGTCACTTGCAACAAAACTCTATAAACTGTGTCAAAATGTGTCACCTGCATCAAAACCCTATCAATTATATAAAAACATGTCACTTGCAATAAAACTGTCAACTTTGTTAAATCTTGTTACCTGCAGAAAAACCATGTCATCTGTGCCAAAAACTGTCACTTGCATCAAAACCCTATCAATTATATAAAAACATGTCACTTGCAATAAAACTGTCAACTTTGTTAAATCTTGTTACCTGCAGAAAAATCCTGTCATCTGTGCCAAAAACTTCACTTGCATCAAAACCCTATCAACTGTGTCAAAACCTATCACTTAATTGCAACAAAATCCTGTCAACTGTGCAAAAACCTTTCACCTGCCTCAAAACCCTGTCAAATGTGCTGAAATCTGTCATTTGCAACAAAACTGTCAACTGTGCCAAAACCTGTTAATCACAAAAAAAAACTGTCAACTGTGTTTAAATCCCATCACCTGCAACAAATCTCTGTCAACTGTCTTTTTGTTGAAAGTGGCAGGTTTAGACAGTTGACAGAGATTTGTTGAAAGTGGCAGGTTTTGGCATAGTTGACAGGATTTTGTTGAAAGTGGCAGGTTTCTCTATCAACTGAGTCAAAACCTGCCACTTTCAACAAAATCCTGTCAACTGTCTAAACCTGCCACTTTCAACAAAACTCTATCAACTGAGTCAAAACCTGCCACTTTCAACAAAATCCTGTCAACTGAGTCAAAACCTGCCACTTTCAACAAAATCCTGTCAACTATGTCAAAACCTATAATTTGCAATAAATCTGTCATCTATATCAAGATTCTGTTAACTAAAACCTGTCATCTCCATGAAAACCCTGTCAACTTTAAAAAAAACAACTATCACCTGCACCAGAATGCTGGGTTTTAACATATATACATATTATAATACACACTAGGTCATTATTGATTTATAAATTCACTTTATCTTTGATAGCTTGTCTAGTTTAGTGTTTTCATTCCTGATGGGGATAAAACTGAAAGTGAAAAAAATTGAGGCCCACCCTTTAGTAATATATTTCTACAGTAAATAGTGAAATTGAGCATGTTGAACTAAATGTTCAAGTTGATTATGCTGTAGAAAGAGATTACTGAATGGTAGATATGTTTTTAAATCTTTACAGCCTATTGTATTATTATATATATAAATGGACAAACAGTGTATTACACAGCTTTACACATTTGATTTTTGTTTGACTGAATAGCTTGCTTTCGGCAGAAATTTAAATTAACTTAATACAACATAACTTACTACACTCTTAAAATGGGTGAAAGTTATATAAAACCTCTTCTATTTACAGCTGTTAGGTTTTTTTTTACAGTTATTAACCACTTAACTGCCTTACTAACCTGTTTGGCTGCTGTTTCTTCATCCCTACCATCTCCTACAACAACATAAGTACATTTCCTTCCATACCTAGAGTTAATTCTCTCGAAACAGCTTTCCTTTCCTGGAAAACACAAGTTTCTTATCATAAAACAAAAAATAAAGTTAAATACAATATTCTTCAACAGTTGAGCACAATAACTGAGAAGTAGGCTTTTGGTTTAATACAATATTCTTCAACAGTTGAGCACAATAACTGAGAAGTAGGCTTTTGTCTTCAACAGTTGAGCACAATAACTGAGAAGTAGGCTTTTGGTTTCTACAAATATAGAATGATTTATTAGATAGCTTTCCTTTTATACAAACACGCACAGTGATTTATCAGATAGCTTTCCTGTTATACAAACACACAGTGATTTATCAGATAGCTTTCCTTTTATATAAACATACAGTGATTTATTGTATAGTCTCCTTATATACAAACACACAGTGATTTAGTGTATAGCTTTCCTTTTATATAAACATACAGTGATTTATTGTATAGTCTCCTGTTATACAAACACACAGTGATTTAGTGTATAGCTTTCCTGTTATACAAACATACAGTGATTTAGTGTATAGCTTTCCTTTTATACAAACACACAGTGATTTAGTACATTGCTTTCCTTTTATACAAACACACTGATTTATAATATAGCTTTCCTTTTATACAAACACACAGTGATTTAGTGTATAACTTTCCTTTTATACAAACACACAGTGATTTAGTGTATAACTTTCCTTTTATACAAACACACAGTGATTTAGTAGATAGTCTCCTGTTATATAAACATACAGTGATTTAGTGTATAGTCTCCTGTCACTGTGTGTTTGTATAACTTAGTGTATAGCTTTCCTTCTATACAAACACACAGTGATTTAGTGTATAGCTTCCTGTTATACAAACACACAGTGATTTAGTAGATAGTCTCCTGTTATACAAACACACAGTGACTTAGTGTATAGCTTTCCTTTTATACAAACACACAGTGACTTAGTGTATAGCTTTCCTTTTATACAAACACACAGTGACTTAGTGTATAGCTTTCCTTTTATACAAACACACAGTGACTTAGTGTATAGCTTTCCTTTTATACAAACACACAGTGATTTAGTAGAGAGCTTTCCTTTTATACAAACACAGTGATTTAGTGTATAGCTTTCCTTTTATACAAACATACAGTGATTTAGTGTATAGCTTTCCTTTTATACAAACATACAGTGATTTAGTGTATAGTCTCCTGTTATACAAACACACAGTGATTTAGTAGAAAGCTTTCCTTTTATACAAACACACAGTGATTTAGTACATTGCTTTCCCTTTATACAAATACCGAGTGATTTATTAGACAGGTTTCCTTTTATATAAACATACAGTGGTTTATCAGATAGCTTTCCTTTGTTATAAATATAAATAAAGAGAATATATACACTGAGTGGTCACAAGTAAATAGACACCTAATTTTTCGTCATTTAACTGATTTATGCTAACTAATTTGTGTTCACAGAGCACTATATGAACAATACATTATCCGTACGTTTAAAACTGGGAAACTGTAACAATGAACCAAGTAAC